TTTTCTCCGTATTTATGATCAACAAGCGTTTAGAGTATTTGACCGCAATACATTTTTACGTAAGCAACTTTGCTGCACGATGATTTGTGGCCAGGTCGCTTCTGAAAAAGAGCAATATAGCTCAGTGGGCCTTACCCGGTGAAATAAAACAAAAATAGTTTAGTTTTAGTCACACCACGGCAGCATCGAAATATTTGCATCATTCACGTAAACCCAAAGGTGACGGTCAAAACTACCAGTCAAGCTAGCATAGCTCTATTCATCAGCACCATCAGCCATGGTCGATCCACTGCTAGATGAAGGACTTCCCGAGCCACCCCCCACCTCAATCTCCTCGGTGGACCACCTCTTGGTCGCGTTTCATTCCTTGGCTGCCGCTCCATGATAATTACCGACCATCGGCCTTTATCCTTTCCGGAGGCATCCCCTAGCCATGCCAGGTCCTGCTCGAGCCTCCTCGCTTTTCTTAACTTCTTGGATGACGCCAATGAACACGTGAATGTTTTCTACTTCATCTGTTCCTCTTTTTGTCTCTTAACGTAACTGACCGAGGCACCTAAACTGTTGACCGGCACCCCTAAAACACTCCTCGAATAACCACGTCATGTCAACTCGCAGGTTTGAATTTTATCCGTAATAAAACACTCGCCGACACTTTAGCGAGCGCGCACAGCATGTTAAAATCAGGGCCCTTGGTTGTTCTGTTTTGTTTCGGTAGTCAAGTCCAATTAAAAATTATGACACTCGATTTTAACTGCTTCGCTTTCGGTGGATTCCAAACTCAAGTGTTTTACAAAATGGCTGCCGAATTACCAAAATTGTGCGAGCACATTTCTTCTGTGTGGTTGAAAGGCATCCACAGGGCACAGATCACCTCTGCGGTATGTGGTCTACCACACACACGCGCGCGCACCACACCTTGCAGCATTCTCGAAATCATTGCAACAATTCCCGTTAGCACTCTGCCCGTTGCACCTCTTTTGCGTGCGCTGGCCTTCCAATCGCACACTCTTTGCTTCCGTGCTCAGAAACACGAGCTCGCGGTTTTTCTGAGAAACCCAACGGCAGCGAGGTGCGCCGCTGTGGGTCCCCTTTCACAATCTGCCGCGTCACACGCACCTCCACCTCGAGCTAACGAAGCCAACGAGCGCACGCGCACGGACCGAGATGACGTCCTGAAGCATATTGTTTTACAATAAAATATGCACGTATAAAGTTGCAACGATTTCACTGCTGGATTAAGGCTTCACCAAGGCCGGTTCCTCGCACAGGGCGGAACACCTGCCAACCAATATACAAGGTGAAGGTGCAACCGCGCAATTGCTTTTTTTAAGGCAATGATGACAGAAAAGGGTTTCCACTTTTAGGGCGTTATAGAGAGCTCCTATCGAGCGGTTGTTTGGCCTAACTCCTTCCAATGCTCTTCCTTGTTGTCCTTCACCCGCACCTCCGATTAGCATGGTTGGCTGCATACGGTGCGAACGAGGCTCAAGACAGATACATGCACACACGTGCTGGACAGACGTCTCGGAATGGTGGTGGGAGTGCCCACACTGTATCCCGCCATACACGAACCTGCCGATCGCAGACTAACCATGGCGTGCCGGGAGATCGATTGGAACCGGCGACTTCTGTATGTCGAGTCCGCTGTGCTAAGGGGCCGTCCATAAATGACGTCACGCGATTTTGGGCGATTTTTGACCCCCGCCCCCTCGTCACACGGCGTCAGAAAAAGTCAGACCCGCCCCCCCTCAAATATGACGTCACAAAGCTCTGCCCCCCCCCTTCTCCCAAAAAAATTAAACATGCTTCAAATCGCTTTAAACTATTGTCATTGTAGTGCGTATTTAATGTGGCGCTGCATTTTGATGTTGTAGGAGAAAACATTCATTAATAAGTCGATTTAATTAAGTAGAACGTGTTGTCTAGATTTATTTAAAGTTGCGCATTCTGATGTGACGTCACTTTTCTCTTTCCCGCCCCCCAGGTGCGTGATGTCATTTGTGGACGGCCCCTAATCCCCGATGGGCGTCCCACACTACGAATACATCCACGGAGAATTTCGCTGCCATTAAACAAGTTATGCGTCCGTAAAGAAGGAGGGGTATTTTTTTTCCGGGGGTTAGATCGCGTAAATGTAAATGTGTCGCCAAACCCTGCCACCACCCGACACAGCCGACAAGCAAGGTTTGTCACGTAAACGAAAAATGCCAGTTAGTTACTAGAGCAGCACATCGGTGTGTTGGAGAGGAAACCCCCAACATTGACAAGTCGGCTACGGCGTTAGGCCGGTAATTTACAACGACCAGCATCGTCAGCTTTGTGGATAATATTGGTAGCGAAAGTTACGCATGTTTTTTTTTTTTTTCTTTCTGACGACGTGACTCTGAATCGCAGTACAGTCGTGTACGTTCACACATTCAGCCCTCCGTACACTTTGTCGGACGTGGTGGTGGTGGTGGAGGAGGATTATTTGTCCATGCTTCACGATTATGGTTTAGTACGGACAGGTAAATGAAGGTGGATGGGTGGGGGGGGGGGTGAAACTCAACAGTGGCGGCTCAAAATATCGCCCGCCACTGATGTTAGCCGTAGCCAGTCAGCTGACATTGCAGGAAATGACGTTCTTGTTCGGAGTAATAGAGGGAGAAGAAGGACGGACTGATTTACCTCGTCGTAGGAGAGCTATCGAAGAGCTGCAGTGCGAAGTGCAATCTCCAATGGTTACGGGGGGGGGGGGGGGGTAGTGTCGGTCAATCTCTCCGCCAAACTCTCTCCGCTCCGAATTCCAGATTAGCATTCTCACTAACAGCTAGAATGCATCGTTAGTGACGAATGTAGTGAGGCGATGAGACAATTCCGCGTGGTGTTTGTGCACAAATGGATTTAGGAGAAGTAAAAACGGAACAGGTTTGAAAGGCACTTTGAGGTACATGTAAATGCAGAAGCAGCCTCGTCCTTATACTCCGTAGTAGCTGAGTAGGCTGGTGGAAAGTGCGCCCACAACCAGAAATTCTGGTTCAATTCACCAAATAACTTAGCATTTTCTACCGGAACTCACCAAGGCATGGGGAGGTGGATGGTAAACAGCTCCTTCAGGCCTTGCTCTCATCTTATTTGAGTTTTCAATTCTTTTAAATCTAGATTGAAAATAAATTTCTTTCGAACTGCTTTTTTGCGTTTAATTTGTTGTCCTTTCCCCGCACCTCCCATTAGCACGGTTGGCCACGTACGGTGCGACAGAAGCTCAACACTCGATAATAAATGCGCACATTTATTATGAGTCACGGTCATAATACGCTTTTGCACAATGTCAGGAGCCACAATGAGACCTCGGGGAGTTACAGTGAGGGAAAAAAGTATTTGATCCCCTGCTGATTTTGTACGTTTGCCCACTGACAAAGAAATGATCAGTCTATAATTTTAATGGTAGGTTTATTTGAACAGTGAGAGACAGCATAACATTAAAAAAATCCAGAAAAACGCATGTCAAAAATAAATTGATTTGCACTTTAATGAGGGAAATAAGTATTTGACCCCCTCTCAATCATAAAGATTTCTGGCTCCCAGGTGTCTTTTATACAGGTAACGAGCTGAGATTAGGAGCACACTCTTAAAGGGAGTGCTCCTAATCTCAGCGTGTTACCTGTATAAAAGGCACCTGTCCACAGAAGCAATCAATCAATCAGATTCAAAACTCTCCACCATGGCCAAGACCAAAGAGCTCTCCAAGGATGTCAGGGACAAGATTGTAGACCTACACAAGGCTGGAATGGGCTACAAGACCATTGCCAAGCAGCTTGGTGAGAAGATGACAACAGTTGGTGCGATTATTCGCAAATGGAAGAAACACAAAAGAACTGTCAATCTCCCTCGGCCTGGGGCTCCATGCAAGATCTCACCTTATGGAGTTGCAATGATCATGAGAACGGTGAGGAATCAGCCCAGAATAACAAGGGAGGATTTTGTCAATGATCTCAAGGCAGCTGAGACCATAGTCACCAAGAAAACAATTGATAGCACACTACGCCGTGAAGGACTGAAATCCTGCAGCGCCCGCAAGGTCACCCTGCTCAAGAAAGAACATATACATGCCCGTCTGAAGTTTGCCAATGAACATCTGAATGATTCAGAGGACAACTGGGTGAAAGTGTTGTGGTCAGATGAGACCAAAATGGAGCTCTTTGGCATCAACTCACCGTGTTTGGAGGAGGAGGAATGCTGCCTATGACCCCAAGAACCATCCCCACCGTCAAACATGGAGGTGGAAACATGCTTTGGGGATATTTTTCTGCTAAGGGGACAGGACAACTTCACCGCATCAAAGGGACGATGGACAGGGCCATGTACCATCAAATCTTGGGTGAGAACCTCCTTCCCTCAGCCAGGGTATTGATAATGGGTCGTGGATGGGTATTCCAGCATGACAATGACCCAAAACACACGGCCAAGGCAACAAAGGAGTGGCTCAAGAAGAAACACATTAAGGTCCTGGAGTGGCCTAGCCAGTCTCCAGACCTTAATCCCATAGAAAATCTGTGGAGGGAGCTGAAGGTTCGAGTTGCCAAACGTCAGCCTCGAAACCTTAATGACTTGGAGAATATCTGCAAAGAGAAGTGGGACAAAATCCCTCCTGAGATGTGTACAAACCTGGTGGCCAACTACAAGAAACGTCTGACCTCTGTGATTGCCAACAAGGGTTTTGCCACCAAGTACTAAGTCATGTTTTGCAGAGGGGTCAAATACTTATTGCACTTATTAAAATGCAAATCAATTTATAACATTTTTGACATGCGTTTTTCTGGATTTTGTTGTTGTTATTCTGTCTCTCACTGTTCAAATAAACCTACCGTAAAAATTATAGACTGATCATTTCCTTGTCAGTGGGCAAACGTACAAAATCATCAGGGGATCAAATACTTTTTCCCTCACTGTAGCTATCCACAGCGCAGACGATGTCTGCACGCCGAGTGAAAATCAAATGGCTCCGTAAGTCTCACCATAGGCAGCGCGAGCGGGGTCGTCACCGGACGTCCTGGCGACGTCGACAATCTGCTGCTGCAGAGCGGCGGTGGCGTCCAGGAGGAAGGCTCTGGCTTGCTCCTGGCTCTCTCTCCTTGCCGCCTCCTCCATCATCTCCACGCTCTGCTCAAACAACCGCTGCAGTTCCTTCTCCCCCATGGTCTGCAGAAACAACGGTCCAACGCCACTGCTGAGTCGCCCAGGGGTTTAGACGGCCCGGCCCTCAATACATCCACATCATGGAGCCGCTTGAGAGGATGTTTTATACCGTAGCAGTCACCCGGTGATTTCACAGCGACTTACCAAAGTACGACAATGTCCGCTATGGGAGCACCACGGTGGCTAGGAGATGTTAACTACCTCGCCTGGTATACAGGAGGTCGTGTGTTCAACTCCGATCCTGACGCCCGTTGTATATTTGGAGTTTGCGTGTCTCTCGCTCTCTTTCTCTCCCTGCGGTCGTGTGGATTTTTCTCCGGGTCCTCTGGGTTTTCCTTCCACGTTTAGAATCAACGTCACCACGCGTTTAAAGTTTTTGGTTGCTGCTATAAATGTTCACACGATAAGCCACTTCGTCGGGCTATCATTTGTGGCCAGGTCGCTTCAGTGGGCCTCACCTGATAAGATAGTTTTTAGCATACAACAACGATAGTAATAATAGTGTACACTCTACAACAGCCTTTTGTCATTCACTGCCAGATGAAGGCCTCCCACACGCAGTGTCGGCCATGGGGGTTATGTGACCATCCTTCACCAACGTTTCGTCAGCGCAATTTGGGGAAGGTGGGGAGCATAGGCAGTTCATCGCGTATTCATAAGCACAGTACAACAGTGGACTTTTGTTGCAATTGCCCTGCCCTGCATTGCCCCACATACACCCCGTTGCAGGTTCCAACCTGCTTAGCTTCCCAGCATCACGGCACATAGCAGTGTTGTTTATTCATGGACGACTGAACCCGCCCACCACACACACAGCGATCAAGTGAAGGGGGCCCATTATTTTACCCTGAGGGCCTCCCCCACGCCCTCGGCGGGCACGGCGGCCGTGGCCTGCAGTGCGCGCCGGATGAGCGCCGTGCGGTGGTCGGTGGGCACAGGCGCCCGCACGGCCTGCTCCACCGTGGCGATGAACTCCGCAGGGATCTCTGCCGGGTCCAGCAGGAAGATTGTTCTGCGAGAAGGAAGGGGGAAGGAGGGAGGGAGCAAGGAAGAGGCGGGAGGAAGACGAGGATGACAGATGCGCTCAGACGGCCCCGGTGGTCCTCGTTGTGCCGCACTGGCAAGATGTTATCTCCCTCGCCTGGCATGCAGGAGGTCGTGGGTTCGACCCCGACCCTGATGCCAGCTGTATATTTGGGGTTTGCGTGTACTCTCTCTCTCTCTCTCTCCCCGTGGCTGCGTGGATTTTTCTACAGATCGTCTGGTTTTCCCCTCCACATTTAGAATTAACATCACGCGTTTTAGAGTTTTTGGGCTGCTATAGATTTTTACATGATAAGCTACTTCGTTGAGCTATCATTTGTGGCCAGGTCGCTTCTGAAAAAGAGCTACATAGGTCAGTGGGCCTTACCTGGTAAAATAAAAAATAGCTTACTTAAGAATCAACCATCATGCCGTTTCCATTGTGGATTGACATGCACATGTACGCGTAACGTACAGCCAAAATTTGTCAATCCACTGCTGGATGAGGGCCTCCTTCAACCTCCACCGGTGGTGCTACGCAAGAGGGCGTGGAAGGGGCGCTGCGATTGGGGGAACTTTGTAGTGCTTTGCAGTAAATTTGAGGTAGTTTGCAGCACTTCGAAGGCCATTTTCGGTACTGTGCAGTGACCTTGAGATAGTTAGCGGTACTTTGCGGTACAATTTGCGACACTTTGCGGTAAAATGTGCGGCAATTTGATGAATGAGGGTACGGTGAAAGCACTCTACTACCTACAGTGCCTTTCGTAGGCCTCTCTCCAAGTCACGGTGGTTCTCCCCAATGCAGGCACTACAGGGGGCCTTAGCGATGCTTGGCGTCTGACATCTGACGTGGTGCAATCCAACTGATTTGGCCAAATAAACTCATACCCTTGTTTACAGCCCTGATCCAGCGGTGTTTCATTCCACATTCACGTATCTGTCAATCCCATATGATTTAACCCGTTTTCTTGTACAGGGAAATTGAGTTTTCAGGTCCACATGGCGTACAATCATTTCAATACGGGTAAAAAATTAAATATTACGGCCAAATAAAGAAAGTAGTGGGACAGCTTTTTTTTATTTTACTCTGGAGAGTATTGTTGTACAATTACAACATGAGTGTGTGCATCCACATATCAAGCAAGCAGAAGCATCAGCATGCAAGATCACAGACAGTAGCATGATAAGTAGCATCATTGACACCAATTATCAAAATGAATACATAAAACTTTCTGTTTAGTAACATCATTTTTGTATATGTGTGCTTCACCCTTGTGATGGGACATTGTAGGATGGACGTTGAGATTTATAAAGGGCACGGGGTGACCAACAAGGTCTGAATTGGTGTGTAATAAGGTAGGGCACTGATAAGGGGTTGACAGGTGTGCATTCATATGGCAGGGGGCTGACTCTATTCATAGGACGACCACTGTTGAGATCCCCAAAAAGTGGTACTCAATTTATAGCGACCTCGAAGGGAGGGATTATGGGCTGATTCATAATAACGTTTTTTTTGGGTTAGATCGCGTAAATATAAATGTGTCGTTAACCTCACCACCACCCGACACAGCCAATTCATAAGGGTTGTCACATCATTAGACCTCCTTTGCCAGTACCAAAATGTAATAATAGGGTTTTTCCCCTTTTTTCTGATAGTGCATTGTCTTTGAGCTGTACGCCTTTTGGCGTAATCTGGTCGAGCACCAATTGGGTCGAGGCTCAAAAGAAAGCCGTCCCTTGGTGTGGACCAATCACTTTGAAGGGCAATGCATATATTATCATAGTATGCTTTTGTTTGCATTTTGACTGCAGGTATTGTGGTTAATGCAGACATGAATCCTCGTAAAAAGGTTTCAGTCTTGTTGCCAGAAAAAAGGGGAAAACCCCTATTATTAAGGTTTGTCACGTAAACAAAACGTGCCAATAAGTTACAACTTCAGCAAATCGGTGTATTGGAGAGTAAACACACAACATTTACAATTTGAGTATGACGTTTTTTTCTGGTGATTACAACCAGCTAAAAGTTATTATTAAGGTTATTCTTGCAAGAGTCAAGACGTCCTTTAGACTGCATCCTGGCAAACACCACAGGTCAGTGAAAACCAGGCCTCGGGTGTGGGTTCATCCGGAGATCTCCAACTCACTTGGTTTTCGCCGGGAAACTCTTCGTCTTAAGGTTGTGTTCACTCCTGATGAGGCGCTGGTAGGAAATCCCTGCCGGAAGAGCAGAATGCGAGTGTCAAAATTGTGTCACAACCATAACAAATTCCGTGGGGGGAAAAAAAAAACAGCTTGCAAACGCCTACTCGCATCTGCCAAACGAAAGGTCCACCAACTATTTGCTTTGGCAGAGCGATCCTCCCGCCAGCTGTATTGAGAGTCCTAACGGTGTGTGTGTGTTGACAGTGTGTGTGTAAGAGTGTTTGTGTAGCGACAAACCAGGTGATCTGAGTTGGATTCCCCCTCACGTCCAACACCAGTGACGATTATCTAAACCGGTCCTGGGTCTTCCCGAGGTCGACTCAGCTTAAAATGAGTAGCTGGTGCGGTGTGTAAACATCGCCACTAGGGAGACAAAGGCGGTCGGGCGTGGTCCTGCCCAATCACCCCCTCACGTACCGTTCAGGCCTTCAGATGTGCTGCTCGCTAACAGCACTTGCCCCAACAGTCTGTTACAGGCTATATGGGGGATCTTTGTCTTTGTGTGTGCGTGCGAAATTGTAAGAGTTTACTGATGAGTAGCGCTCTGCTCCTCATAACATTCTCACGGAATTTCTGCGAGTTCCTGCTAGTTATATTTAATACTAGCAGGAAATGTAGAGTAGTGGCTCCAACACTGTCTTCAGAAGGAGGGGGCTCAGTGGCGTTACAGCAATTGTTCAAATTTTGCTGTGCCATGGGGTCAACGTGCCCACAATGGGGTTACAATACGATAAAGCGAGGATTCGTCTTGGTGCGTGATCGATTGTCGCGTTGTTCCTCTTGCCACGGCAAGACGGCGGCGAGTTCATTGGAATCGTCACAACGTGGGTGTTTTGGGTGATGCAAAATCTAATAACGTCAAATGTTAGATTCACTTGATGATGATGAGGAGGGGGTTCATGATGTAACCGTGAGATATGCAGTGCCGGGTTAATATGTGCTGGGTTAGGGATGGTTACACCACTGGGAGCGTGTGGGGGTGCTGTTTGGGGGGCTCCAGGCCCCCCCTATATCAAATGTTGGCTCGCCATGTAGCTCAGGTTTTCCGCAGCGTTTTAAAAGGTAACTCTGACAAGTTTGGTGGTGATAGTTTTAACGGTATGGATTTGTATTCGGAGCAGGCATATTCTAGATTTGAAGCTTTCATGACTGCAAGGATCCATACTCTTTGCTTCTATTCGGTAAAGTCACGTCGGTAAAAAGTGAAACAACGTCGTGATTTTTGTTGTTTTATTTTTTACCTACGTGATTTTACCGAATAGAACGAAAGAGTACAGACAGGCATACTTTTATTTGCACGAAATATATTATAGATGGAATAATTGTAATGTAAACTCAGCAGGTGGCTTGGTTACAATGACCCACACTCAAAACGCATGAAATTGCATGACACGTGCAAACTACTAATGCGTTTTGAAAAGGAACCACATTTATTATATTTTAAATAGAGTTGAAACTTTTACAATTGATTTTCATTCACTGCATAGTCAAAATCATCATCTTGATTTATACTGGAGGAGAAATCTGATGAGCTATGAAACTCTTTTCACAGATGTCCAGTACGGGCGGGGGGGGGGGGGGAGGCAGGGGGGTAAGCGAGTTACATTAACAATTACAATACAGAATACGAGAATAAGATAGAGAAATATAAGCAAGTCACTGATAGATAAATAAGTATAGATAAATATAAATAAAGCATGAGAGTACAAATTGCATGAGTATATACATTCCAAATGGTCTGGGCAACAACATCATTAGGCTGACCTTTGATGTGGCTTCTATTTACATTTACCCAGCATTGTGGTGAGACAGATAATCACACAATTTCAGCTTGTACACAGCGGCCTAAAATGAATTATTCCAACGAATCTGTTCGATCAACTCCATTCATGTGCATGAATGGAGGTTATCAAATGAATATCTAGTTAAAAGTATTTAATACAATTTACGAATCTACAATAACCGCACAAAAAATGTATAATGCTAAAACTCAAAACATTAAATTAAGTGTACAACTGGCACTAAGAATACCAATCCCAAGGCAAGTACATTCGTACTTAATATTACATTGGGTCAAATTATAATGTCCCTTCCAACTAAACACGTGTATTGCCCTGACTTGATGATGGCAATTCCATATTGCTGTGGAAGAGACCAATTGCTCCAATTGCAAGCAGTAATCTCAAACTCGGGGTTACTCCGTCTCTCTCTCTCTCTGTCTCGGCATGAAATCGAGGATGCATTTGGAACTCTCCCAGGCCGGTGCAACCCCCTGCATTAAAGAATGGCCCATGGAAGCAGATACAACAGAACCACTTCTGAAATCCCTTCACCGAGTGACCTCTGACCTACACTTAAGGCGGCAGCACTTTCCCAGCCACACTATTACAGTAATGGTTTCATCGCACGACAGTCAAACGGTTATTTCTTTTATTCCCAGAGCTAGAATTTCGACAAATTACGGACAGAAGCAAACTCAAGACGATGGTGTTTTTTTGAGTGGAGCCTACCCCGTTGACCCACTATATCCCCCCTCCTCCGGAACGCAGCTTAGTCGCGTCGCGTCCGCTTCTTGCGACGGGAGATCCTCCAACTGGAAAGTGCGACTGGCTGTATCGGGCTCGTGAGTTGTTACATAAGAGCTTTAAGAATCATGAAAACAAATGATTGTGATTTTTTTTTGGCAGCCATTGACAACCTAGCGGAGGCCATAATCGCATTTTTAATCTTGAGAATATCGTTGCACTTTTGGTGGGAGCTCACTGAACTCAGTGCCTTGACTACAGACCTAGTTTTACACACGCAGAGCCATGCCAGTCAACCGAGACAGATATGCACGAGTTTATTAAAAATTGTCTTCCCTCCGCCACAACTCTGAGCCTCGATGATGTCAACGGAGGCCTGCGGCTATCTTCCGCTCAAAACGATACGGCCTCACCTGGAGCACGGAGCTCCGTATCGAGGACGGAGAGCAGGTCCTGGGCCATGGAGCAGTGCGGCACCGGCCAGGACAGAATGCGGCGGAGCACGGGACGGAACTGGTGCAACAGATTGACGCTTTTGGGTAAGTGGGAGGCCTGAGCAAAGGGGGGGGGGGGGGGCAGCAGCGGGCAAGGTCATTGGGCCGATGTCAGTCGTAGACAAAAAGAACTGCCATGTCGCAGACAACAATGACACGATGGTGGGGGAGACATTGGGTAGACGACGATGTGGAATGTCACAGGAAATACGAGGTCCGTTATTTAGCCAGGAAAGCCTCACTGAGTTCTCAAGTCTTGAACCATGATGTTAATAAAGTTAGGCAGATTGACACAGTCATATTCAGGATTCTAGAGGAAACCAGATTCCTCGTATTTACGAAGAACCCTCAAACTCTGTATGATAATGGTGGACGCCTACTCGCTGCACAACTTCCGACAGGCGTACTCAACGCTCTGCAAGTTGAAGAAATATTCCCACGTATCTCTACATCATCTCTACACGCTGCACTTACCCCCCCCCCCCACCCCCGATCTCCACAACATGTGCCACTGATCCGCTAATCAAACGAATAATTACTGTGTGATATTTACTTGAGTATGTCAAATCAAATGAATTATGCCTTTGAGAATATGATGCATTTCCCACGAGGTTTGTTCATGTTTTTTAATGAGCAGGCGAGAGAGATGTTATGTAGGAGGTCGTGGGTTCGCTTCCAACCCTGACGATCCCTGCATATTTGGAGTTTGCGTGATCTTTTTCCACGTGGTCACGTGGCTTTTCCTCTCTGGGTCCTCTTGTTTCTGCCCTCAACGATTAGAAATTGCGTTTAGATTATTTAGTTCCTACTATACATTCCCACATGTGGATGATATAAGCCACATCGATAAGCGATCACTTGTAGCCAGGTCACCTCTGAAAAAGCGTTCACAGCACAGTGGGCTTTACCTGTTAAAATTGCATTCACGTAAGATGCAAATACTCAAATACTGTAATAATAAAATGGTTTGATTAATAATGTACAACCCTCTGTCAATCTGCTGCTCGATGGAGGGCTGCCCGTACATGCTGTGTTGGTCATGGGGTCATTTCACCATACTTCACCATGTTGGTAATAAAAAAAAACCATGATCAACATGGTGTGAGCACAGCCTTCATTCAATCAGTAGTGGATTGATCTATGTGGATTATTTAACTATGTTCATAATTATTGTTGTTTCATTAATACGCAAGATGTAGAAATGCGAATACTCTGAGCCTATTAATCGAAATAAAATAACCTTCAACCCGCGCTAACCAGCGGTCATGAAGTATGGTCAAATAAACCCCCGTGACTCGCATGGCAATGGATTGACAAAGGGCCACTGCACACGCGCGTGTGTGAATACGGAAATAAGATTCGTAATATCACCCTTCTTCAGCGTATAGAAGAAATGCCACTGGCCGTACAACATCAGCCTATTTGTGTTTAAGCGATAAGGTCGTTTAGGCTGCGTTTAGACACAATTCAGAATGCGTTTACAATGTGTTTGCACCATCTGCCAACACGGTCCCACGAAATTGCACTCGAAATAGCAGGGCGATTCTTGCAGAGGATCGGCGAAAGGCGTGTGCCTTCATCACTGGCGCGCCGCCGTCACATTTGCACTCACTTGAATCACGGCCGCGTGGAACAAAATGGCCAGCGGAGCAAATTGTTCGTAGTCGCAGTTTTTCTCCACCTGCAAACGAGAGATAAAATGGCCGCACGTCACGGCTCACATAGATGGCACAGTAACAACTACTATTTCACATGCAGGTGGTCAAGCCAGGTAAGCCGCGGCAGGAGCAGCGGAGTTCGCTCCGCTGCGACGTCTCCTTCGTCTTTGTGGATTCGCCATTGCGTCGTTAAACAGCGATACGGTCCGTTCTGGATGATCACAGTCGCGCATTGGAGAGTTTTCCATTTTCCATTTGTGCATCAGGTATCCGCATTCTGCCATTGTTTGTGCGGAAGCTGTTTCAGGGGTGGACCATGAGCTTTGTGGAAGATCAACACCGGGGATCTTCTGCCGTTGGGTCTTTCACGAGGTGTTTGCGATTTCTTTGAACTCCATTCAGGTCTGAATGCGACGCTTATCCTGATCACTTTTTCACAGATAGCATGCTAGCCCCAATACAAAGTTTTCTACTAGATAATTATAATGATCTGAACCGGTCTTGGGCATTCCCAGGTCGACTCAGCCTCAAATGACCAGGCAGCCTTCATAGGTGATCGCTAATAGTACTTGCTCCAAAAGTCTGTTAAGGCTATACGGAGGATCTTTGTCTTTGTATTTACATGTTGGGTAGAGTGGTGGGAGATGTGATTACGGCCAATGCTGTCGAATCCACCACCACCAACGTGTCTACCCTCTGCCAGATCCCGCAGCTGCTGTGGTTTTCACACCTGATGATGCTTGCTTGTGTTGCAGTCGAAACGTCGTGAGAATTTTATTGTTTTATATTTGTATTATTTTGTTTCTCTTCTACGTGACATTACCGAAAGAACCAAGAATATGAATCCCTGCAGTCACGAAAGCTTTAAATCAAAATTTAACCACTGCCATATTACAGCTTCCGTCCTAGGACGGGCTAACAAGCTAGTTATTATATAGAATAAAATATATTTATTGGTCGTGAAAGCCTACATGTTGAATAAATCCATTGCCGTTTGGCCATAACTTCATCACACTGGCCAGTCAGTGCAAATTGGTAAAGGGGAGGCCCCAGGACTTGTTCGGATATCACCCACCACCGATATTAGCCTTAGCCAGGGGGAATCTAACTGAGGTCACTGGGTGCAGGGCAAAAACCAATGCAGCGCCACTCAGCAACCACCGCTGCACATTGTAAGTGAGCATTAATGAAGGAATGTCTTTCGTGAGGGGGCATGCCTGATTACAGTGCGTTATTTCATCCTATTAACTAAGCACTCAAATTGTGCATCACGATAATCCATGTTGTGTCGTCTTTGTATGGGTCACTTGAAAACACCCGATGAGCAATTGGGCACCGCGGTGGTGAGATATTAATTCCCTCGCCCAGTATACAGGAGGTCGTGGATTCGATCGCGACCCTGACACCTGCTGCTGTATATTTGCGTATCTCTTCTCACCGTGGTCGCGTGGATTTTTCTCCGCGTAACTCCGGTTTTTCCCTCCGCATTTTATAGAAACGTGCGTTTAGAGTATTTGGTCGCTAAAATTGTTCACGTGATAAGTCACTTCGTTGAGCTATCATTTGTGGCCAGGTCGCTTCTGAAAAATAGCTATATTTAGCTCATTGGGACTAACCTGGTAAAATAAAAATAGTAATGAAAATATGTGAAATGATTCAGAACCATAATATATATTGTGTATATGTAGAGACAGTTGGTGATGCTGCGTTGGCAGCGATGCACAAGCACAATTAACAAATACTCAAAACAAATGTGCTACGAAGAAGAGCAAGTTACCCGAAAAGTTGCTGATTAATTTTATATTTTATTTCTTTAAAGGCAGGGTTGTTTTATGGGAGAGGGGTAAATACGGGGAAAATGCACCGAAGCCAAGCAGGCAATACGGATTATACGTCAAGGGAAATGTGACATGGAATGTTCAAAACATATATACTGACGCGGTATTTGCAGGGCTAGAGAACCTCCTCATCTCTCATCGTCTCTCATCGTCTCTCCCAGCCACTGGCCAGGATGGGGGTGGGATATTACAATAGTGTATTTTAAGAAGCGATAATACACGCACAATGTAAGCACGGCCGGCAATGTACGCAAAGCTTATTGGCGTACAGAGAGACAGGTCGACGATTCATAAATGGGCAAGATGGTGTAAGATAAGTTACGGTTGATTTATTTTGCAGTGATCCATTCTTTATTGCCTTTACGATTGCGATCGTCTGCCTTTGGGGGGGGTGGGTCGTTAAAATTCGTAAACGATTAAAATCATCTGCTGCGCAACGGCAGGCTTCACTGGCTGGAAAAAACAAACCCCGGTTTATTTCAGCCACTTTCGTGATCTAATCACTCGAAGGACGCTGCGTTTATAAATTGATGAATCAACGGCGGCAGAGGCGCGCCATTAACCTGTTCGCCCAAGTCTGCACTGTGGTTAGCGGACGTTATCACTGCCATGGGCTCAACGGAGAGCCGGGCGAGTCGGCTGCGCGAACCACCGTGCCTCGGCGTTGTTATTGGGAAGTCTGCGGTTCCAGCAGGGGGTCACGCCGGGTCACCGACTCGCATTTGACTCTGAAAAAGCTGCTGCTGAATGGAGGCGGCAAGGAATCACTCCCCCCCGCAGTGAGAAGCTCGCATCTGGGCTCCAATTCCAAATACGTAGGTGTAAAATAAAAATAAAAACCTATAATCCAGCAGTGGAACTGCTGAACCAGCGAGAGAGCTGCTACAACAAGGAGGTTATATATGCGGTGATGGGCAAGCAAGCGGGGTCTGAGCTGGAAAGGAATTCCATCCACGGACGCAAGCACGAAGAGAGTTGATCTCGGCAGATGCAACTCTCTCGTGAAATCATGGGAGGGGAGGAGGGGGGGAGTAGCTTCTGCACATCTGAACAGTGTGCTTGTCAGGAGAAGCAAACCACACGGATCATCTCCTGAGATGCCCCGCAGAGCCACAATGCTACTCCTCAAGATTTGGCAATGCCAAACACCAGAAGCGGTGGCCTGTGCAGAATATTGGAAAAAGATTGGATAGGAGACAAGACGAAGGATAAGATTTGACTCTGTGCTACACGTACACTCGCTGGTGTGCCGGTTCTATGAGCGGTGTGTGCTCATTGTCTTAGTATCCAAGGCACCAAATATTAATTTTGCAAACCAACCAATCAAGCCACCAAACAACTGATAAATATTCTTTGGGTCTTTCGGTAAAGTCACGTAGATAGAAGAAAAAATAATAAAAATATCACGACGTTTCGATCTCAACACAAGCAATCGTCATCAGGTGATAAATATCGCAGGAGAGCTGCTGAGAAAATGTGATAAATAACTGATAAATGTCTGGAATATTAATAGCAAAACAAACGCAACACACTCATCGACAACACTGTGGCCGTAAATAAAATAAAATATCGGCAACGTTTCAGGGCAATGGTCATTGCAGTGTTGTTGACGAGTGTATTTAGCTTTATTGTTGTTAATTGCGCTTGTGCACGACTGCCAACGCAGCATCGTCATGAACCCGTTTGGGATATTAATACGATGAGCGTGAATGATTCGGGTCTTTATTGCTGGAGACCATATCACATGGGCTTGATCGGACCACAATTCCAACCCGAATAGATCGGATGGGGAAGGCTGTCATCACAGAATCAGATCTTCTCTGCCGACTTTCATCGATTACGTTTGCAAGGCAAAGCATGTATTTGTATTTTACCAGGTAAGGCCCACTGAGCTATACGTGATTTCCTGCTCAAGCAGGAATTGAGAAAGTGGCTCATCTCGTGTTCAGAGACCTGAGCCAGTGGTGGACATTCCACATTCCTATGGTGGGGGGTGGAGAGTTCGGTACATCCATTGGGGATGGGGGCGAGAGTGCCAGTATATTCATAGATGACCATTGTTGACTTTTTTTTTACGTGATAGGAATTGTATCGACCCCAGAAGGATGCTGAGCTCAGGTGACTCATAACTGACCACGCAGCACTCTATCGCTCAAAGAAGAACTACAAAAGTTACGTTAAATCGTTCATCTGCAGTATTATTATCCGACACAATGTTAAGTTCGCGGAGAGAAAACAAAAGCTTATTCTGACACGCTGTGTGCCGATGGAGTGGTTTTTTTTGTAGCCGCTGTCAGTCGGACAATCTTTTCCTGCATTTTATTCCCACCGACTGTTATAACAAAAATCCTATTCTGCAGGGAGGGCAAGCGTGTGGTGTTATTCGGCCACACAGCGTGGCATTGGTGACAAGGCAGCAATCCACCGTGGTCAAGAAATTATGAAGAAAATTCAGCATGATACCTTTTTTTTACGTTGCTAGATTGATCGTAATAAGCTGGTTCATCGGACACAGCCTGCACACGGTTTTGCAACCAGTCCACCAAGTCATCTGGATTGAAGAGGAACCAACCCTGCAGCCCTTTGCTCATCGATCCATCGATTAAACGTTGAGTACAGTATTTGGAATCGGGTATGAGTCATTTCAGTCACAAGTCTATTGTGTGCCGACATAGTAATCGTGGTACAAGTACGACATTGACAAATTTACGGGGCGAATATTTGGACTTCGAAAATAAAAACGTCGAAAACACTCACGACCAAGACACCCAGAATGCAACGGAACTCTCGGATCTCAGAGACTAAGCAGAGTTGAGTCCGTGCGGTACTTGGATGGGCGACCACACAGCAGGCTCTAAGATCGGAATTTGTCATGACAAATTCAGCATAGAGCCGTTTTATTTTTGCTAGATTGATTGTAATAAGCTTAGATGGGTGAGTACACAGCAGGGTAGCTATAGTCAGTGGGGCTGAGTGGTGGCCCAACTAAGGGCAATGGAGCTACAACTTCTGCTCGCCCACCTTCAGCCTAATCCACATCGACCACCGTGGTGAGGTATGGTCTCAATTCTATGGGAATATTGCAATAGGTGTCTATTTGGTGTTTGAACATCTTAACACCTGTATTATTGCCGGAAGGGGTAAAGCCTATTCCTTTTTTTTCCATTATGGTCATTATCCCCATAAGTTATGTGTGAAGACCATCACCCAGCAGTGACTTGAAAAAGGGATGTGCATGTATCCACTATATACATAAAACCCAATCGAAAAAAAACACGTTTATGCTTGTATTGAGATATTGCTTGGGGGTATCAATTAAAACGACATCACTAATGTTTTTCTTATCTGATTTCATGGGCTGTTATGAACATATGAAATACATTTAACCAGTGGGTACCTGAATCTAGCATTAGTAAATACTGTGCATTATTTAATCATCTAGCTGTTGCCATCTGCACTTATTTTCCCCCCATGGTTTTGTGACCGTGAAGTGATATCATTCATGACGTGATCCCCACCGCCTTGGGCGTTATCACATCAGTTGCGGTTTACAAGCTTATAGTGCAAAAAAATGTGCAACGGAACGCGAAGCGTTTTTTTTAATATATAAGGGTGCAGGGCTAATCGATAAAAAACAACAACGCTTCTTTCAAACGGTCAAGTTAAAGAAGCTCTCTGACTTTTAGTGAACCCATTCACGATGGAGTCCTCAACTGACAGCAGCGGTATTGATCAATTAGAGTAAATCATGCGTGTGCCTGTTGGGTTTGTGAGCTGTCTATGCGCCGTGTATATTTTCACTCGCGGATAATTACGGCTGAACGGTTGGCAGTGACGCAGTGCTCAGGATGCGGATGCACGTTATTCTAATGAGTGCACGTTCACATGGTCCTGCCAATGGCAGATTAATGGGTCGGGGGACTGGGGGGGACATTCCTCTACACGATACATGTTTATTCACCCAATTGGGCCAATGCACAGCACGTGTTGTTGACGTTGTTGTTGTTGGTAGCATTGAGCACTAATGTTATGCAGTATTGACCCAGATATAGTTTGGTGCTGCTAAGCAGATAAGGCAGAAAACAAAAACCAAGGAAGCATGATACAACAACCACCGCAGTATTTCTGTGCGGTCTCGATATTTATCTTGAGCAATGTAAGTACATTTCAGAATAAAGACACAACATTTTAACCATGACACCGGCGCATATGGCCCATTTGTATTTTAAAAAAATATGTCATGGTATCTTTCCGGTCTGCTGTGGAGCATTCGGCGCGTGATCGTGGTGATATTACCACAGTATTAACCTCTGTATCGTGCGGGAAATGCACGACCGTTCAGTTACGAAATTCAAATTGCTCGTAAGTCACTGAATTGGGGTAAAAGCCACATTGCAACGTCGCTCCCTAACCGGAACAAAGCGGCGCCTTCGCTACAGCTTTGCGCTACAGCTTTGCGCTACAAGACTGGCACGGATGCCAAATGTGCTCCTATTATTATTGTCACACGAGTTTCCTAAAAGTCTGAAATCGTTGGCACATAACCTGAATATCCAGATCACCTCCAGGTGGCCAGTTCGCATTGCAACAGAAAAAAAAAACATGCAGCCGTATTCATCGGCGAGGGAAATGCATCCATGACCCCGTATCATTACACACAGCATGGTTGCACAGACACCATGATTATGTTCCCAATGGTTACATATTTTTGAAAAATGCATTTTGCCATTTTGTGCTATGCAAAAACAGATATATGACCTTTCGATGTGGTGCAAGTGATGTTTATTGCTCACCTCGTTAACCCGATCCAGAATACATTGCAGCAGAACAGGATGATTTGCCTCATCCCTGCTCACGAGCTCATCCAAGCAAAATCGGTTTGTGCCCAAGGTGGCTGCACATACACAAAGGCACCGTCATCATCATCATTGTCATCTCCATCACAATCATCATCATCAACATCACTACCATCATCATCATGATCGAAGATTCATTGTAACCATCAACATCATTATCACCACCTTTATCATCACCATTAACACCACCACCATTAACACCACCACCATCATCATATCATGATCGTTTTCACCAATAACATCACGTTCATCGTTATATTGCCATTACCAGCATCATAATCATCAGTATCATCAGCGACACTACCATCATCATCAACATAACCATAATAATCGTGATCTTGCAGAAGAATAATCTTTCACCGAGCGCAATCAAGCAACGGTTGACTTCAGCAATTATGAATTCAGTCAGTTCACTTATTAATTATCGACCATGGTCAAACCACTTCTCGATTAAAACTAAAAACGATACAATTTTTTTTTACCAGGTAAGGTCCACTGAGCTATATAGCTCTTTTTCAGAACAGTAGCTCAACGAAGTGGCTTATCACGTGGATTTTATTTTTTATAGCAGCCAAATACTCGAAACGCATATTTATAACGCGGAGTACCCGGATAAATATCCACGCGACCACGGTGAGAACTTGCAAGCTCCAAATATACAGGTGTCAGGGTCGGTAACGAAACCGAGAACCCTCCTGTGTCGCAGACGAGTTAGTGAACATCTCGGCACCGTCACCACCACACCTCTGATTAGCACGGTTGGCCACATGCGTACGTGCATACAATCATCGTCAAAATCAACATCACCATCATCATCATGCTCAACGTGGAGCGGTGCGGGTGGGATGACATCATGAAGCAAAGCGGACGCTTTGTGTCGTAACATGGCCACTGCTGATTAACTCGTGGTTAGGGACCCAAATTACAAAACCAATTGGAAGCACCGATTTTTCAAGCCGGTGAATTTGTACTCCTGGCTGCTGTTAATTTGGCGGGGTCGCAACAGATTTATTACGCGCCGAGAGCGCGCCCATAACTCACCTGTCCTTGTGGCATGTGAGACACTGCATTGTACATTTGAATGCACGCATTGGCTCTCTGCTAACTATTACAAAACGGAATGATTGATGTGGGGGGGGGGAGGAATACCTCTGAATAGTCGGGCAAGCGGCAGATAATTAATCGACCTGACAAACAAGTGCGTGCATGCGCTTGCGTGCGCGATTTGTCACTCGCTGCGAGGAGCCGCACTCAAAAGACGTGCTGCTCACAAACGGCAGGCAGGGCACGACTCCCGTCATGCGTTGCGTGCGTGCACGTCACCGCCGCAATTGCACGTGCAAGGCACGCCACGCGTGCACCGCATTGCGCATAGAGCCCGTGGGAAGACAAAGGCGGCCGGACGTGGTTTTAGCCACGCGTGTTGACCTTCGTCAGTGCTCCTTTGCCAGCAGCCGCCAGTCCCCAACAATCTGTGAAGGCTACATGGGGGAATCTTCGCATCTATCTTCGTGAGTGTGTGTGTGTGCGTGAGCATGTGTGTGTGTGAGTGTATGTGTGAGCGAGTGTGAGTGAGTGTGTGTGCGTGAGCATGTGTGTGTGTGAGCGTGAGTGTGTGTATGTGTGAGCGTGAGTGAGTGTGTGCGTGAGCATGTGTGTGTGTGAGCGTGAGTGTGTGTGAGAGCGTGAGTGAGTGTGTGTGAGAGTGCATGTGTGAGCGTGAGTGAGTGTGTGTGAGGTGTGTGTGAGTATGTGTGAGGGAGTGTGTGTGAGCGTGTGTGAGAGCATGTGTGAGTGTGCGTGAGTGTGTGTGTGAGGTGTGTGTGAGCGAGTGTGTGTGAGAGTGTGTGAGTGCGTGTGAGCTTGAGTGTGTGTGTGAGGTGTGTGTGACCGAGTGTGTGTGAGGTGTGTGTGAGCGAGTGTGTGTGAGCGTGTGTGAGTGCGTGTGTGAGTGAGCGTGTGTGAGTATGTGTGAGCGTGAGTGGGTTTAACCAGACTGGATTGTGTGAGGAGCTCACAAATCCTTGAAAGATCTGGGCAAGTTCCCATCGGTGAGCTCCTCCGGCGGGCAAGGCTGCGATGGCTGGGTCATGTAGCCCGCATGCCCAGCCACCGCATGCCGAAACAGCTTTTGTTCGGCCGGATTGAGGGGGCTAAGCGGGCGCGGCACGGGCTAGAGAAGAGATGGAGTTATGTGGTACAGGAGGCACGGGCTAGAGAAGAGATGGAGTGATGTGGTACAGGAGGACGTGGAGCTGAGTGGACTTGCCGATGACTGGTACCAGCGGTGTCAAGATCGGCCTCTGTGGAGGAGGCTCGTGAAGGATGCTACTGGGCAGTTGGAGGTAGTCGCCCTCCAACAACAACGGAGGGCGGAGGAGCGGCGCTCAGAACAACGAGCGGAGTGCCGGGTGGCTAAAGCACAGCAGGTTGGCACAGTAGGGGGCACAGGTGGTGCATCAGCCAGTCATCTCAGTCAGTCGACCCGTGGCACCTGGGTCTGCCCCGTGACCTCCTGCCCGCGGGCGTTCGACACTTCACGTGGCCTCAAGGTGCACATAGCCTGGCACAAGCGCCGTGGTGACGTCACCGCCACTTAGTGGCGAATGGCGGTTGTTGTTGTTAGTGCGTGTGTGAGTGAGCGTGTGTGAGTATGTGTGAGCGTGAGTGAGTGTGTGTGAGTGTGTGTGTGAGCGTGAGTGTGTGAGTGCGTGTGTGAGTGTGTGTGAGCGTGAGTGTGTGTGAGAGTGTGTGTGAGTGTGAGAGTGTGTGAGTGTGTGTGAGAGTGTGTGAGAATGTGAGTGTGTGTGAGCGTGAGTGAGTGTGGTGAGTGAGCGTGTGTGAGTATGTGCGAGCGTACCACGGAATGCCCTCTGCGGGTCGTGCAGGCCCTGCAAGCACCTGGACAGCGCATGCTGCACCCGCTTCTCGCTGCTGTGGCTCGCGTGGGGCTGATGCATCGTCCTGGACCCCCCCCCCCCCACGGCCGCCCCCCACGCAACCCTGCAGCCCAACAGCGACAGCAGGGCCCTGCATTCACGAACAAACGCCCACCAAATCACCAATTAAACACCGAGCGTCTCATTAGGGGCCGTCCATAAATGACGTCACGCGATTTTGGACGATTTTTGACCCCCCCCCCCTTCGTCACACGGCGTCACAAAACGTCAGACCCCCCCCCTCAAATATGACGTCACAAAGCTCTGCCCCCCTCTCCCCCCCAAAAATAATAAATTTTTCAAATCGCTTTAAACTATTGCCATTGTAGTGCGTATTTCATGTGGCGCTGCACTCTGATGTTGTAGGAGGAAACATTAAAAAGTCTATTTAATTAAGTAGAACGTGTTGTCTATATTTATTTAAAGTTGCGCATTTTGATGTGACGTCACTTTTCTCAACCCCCCCCCCCCCTTGTCACACATCGTCACAAATGTCTGACCCCCCCCCCCCAGGTGCGTGACGTCATTTACGGACGGCCCCTTATGTCTCGCTTGCACTATCGTAATAATAATAAGAGTTTCAACTTGGAACGCGTCGCTGCAAAGCATTCGCTCGCTGAGAATGACTCGGAAGCGTGCGATGGAACCACGCACGGGCGAGCGGAAAGCCACCAACAATTCCCCAAGCTCTGTGGTCCTCTATTATTATAAGGTGTTATCGGCTAATTATTGAGTGCTTACGCGTGGGCAGGGAAGCAGATCGACCAGAGAAAAACCCTCGCGGTGCGAGGGCGAAACGCTCTATCCCAGTGGTCTTCATTGCAAGGCTCGCTGGCAGCCCCCCCCCGGTGGCCTCTCGCGCCTCGCCTGACGTACGGCCCCCGACAACACGCGAAGAGTGAATCACCTCCCATCATCGTCGTGCTGCTGGCAAACCCCCAATGGTTTCAAATGGTGTGGCGGTCCTCAGCACTGAATAATCAATGTATTTTTGGCGAAAGTGAGAATGAGTGAAGAACACTTGCTCTACCCCGTACAGACGGAACGGCAGGAGTCCACAACTCTGCCGTACCGCCTTCTCCTGGCAAGCCACGGGATGACTCCTCATCGATGTTCGCAGGAAAGGAGTTTCACAACATCTCTGTGTGTGATCCACCAACCCCCGCTGCTGCGTCCACCGCGCTGGATTTCAGGCAGTCACGTGCATAGCCGCCATACGATTCAATCGAGGACATGCAAATGGGACATGGACAGCATGCGCAATGGAGCATATAGTCTTCTTTGTCTTAGGCTACCATCACAACAATGTCACCGATTGACGGCAGCAGCAGCAGCAGCGATGCAGTAATAGACGACTGTTTGACCAGTTTCGTCCTCATTCAGACTCTTCAGTGACCGACGCTCGCCGGCTATGAGGTCTGCGCCTGGGGACCGTACACGCGGAGTCAGCCCTTCCACGCGATGGGTCTAAATTTAGATTGGAGACTGCCATCAATCATCAAATCTCGCCAATGATGAGAAGACAAATAATGCACCGTCGTAACGGGATTAGTGTACTATTATTGCGCCGTGGTGGCTTTAAGGTTGATCGTGATGGTCGCTGAAGTGAGCAAAGCACCGGGGGAATGTTCCCGATCTCAGTCAGTGGTAATAAACCAAGCAGGGGTTGAGCCTGGGCCGTGCTTACAAAAGCAACCACCACGATGTTCCAGAGACGGGTGCGGTAGGCGTTGTGGGCAGTAGAGGGCTTGTGCAGCAAAAAGTCCACGGTTAATCTGCACCCCCCCCCACCACCACCACCACCTTCACCAAACCACCTTTGACCAGCGTGGGTGAAGTATGGTCAAATCTATTCCTCAACGGTCACGCAAGGCGCGTGGGGAGGCTCTCGTCTGGGAGTGGATTGGACAAATTTGGCTGTGTACGTGTCCAGTGAGTTAAATAGGGACGGCATGAATGTCAATTGTTTCATGACCTAAAACTTTCGTGATTGCAGGAATTCACATTCTTGGTTCTTTCCGTGAAGTTACGTAGATAGAAAACTAAAATTCAAATTAAAAGCAGAAAACCCACGACGTTTCGATCGCAACAGAAGCGGACTTCTTATTTTCTCGCCACCTGAAGAATATATATTTGTTATAATGAATTAACAAAGTAGCATTCAAAATCAAGCGGCCAGCAACAAACAGCACTCTAACAGCTTGTAATAGATAGGCGTTAATGCACGACCTTGAATTAAGCAAATCTCCCTAATGTAGCACAGGTCTCAAAAGTGGTCATTCAAAGTGTAAATTGCAATGGTTGGTCGACGGCTCGTCAATTATAATGACTTGCGATGTGACGATGAAGTTAAACACAACACAGTGGGATTTTGGATTAATAAATTTTGTATATGTTTCAAAAGTAAATCTTCTCAATGTGATCTCAAGACGCCGTAAAACCGAGAGAACGCGCGCGCAACGTTGGAAGTTTGAAAAAGTAAAACGTGAACTGTTTATTTTAACGACTTGTGGAAAGCGGGTCGGTAGAATAATTGAACGCCGAGTCGAGGTCCTTCAGACAATAGTTTATTTTGTAGAATATCTTGATTTGAAGCTTTCGTGACTGCAGGAATCCATACTCTTTGGTTCTTTCGGTAAAGTCACATAGGTATAAAATAAAATAAATCACGACGTTTCGATCGCAACACAAGCGGTCGTCCTCAGGCGGAAAAAAATATAACCCAGCAGTGGAACAGCTGATCCATCGAGAGAGCTGTTACAACACTTGCTGAACCAGCGAGAGAGCTGTTACAACACTTGTTGAACCAGCGAGAGAGCTGTTACAACACCTGCTGAACCAGCGAGAGCTGTTACAACACTTGCTGATCCAGCGAGAGAGCTGTTACAACACTTGTTGAACTAGCGAGAGAGCTGTTACAACACTTGCTGAACCAGCGAGAGAGCTGTTACAACACTTGCTGAACCAGCGAGAGAGCTGTTACAACACTTGCTGAACCAGCGAGAGAGCTGTTACAACACTTGTTGAACCAGCGAGAGAGCTGTTACAACACTTGCTGAACCAGCGAGAGAGCTGTTACAACACTTGCTGAACCAGCGAGAGAGCTGTTACAACACTTGTTGAACCAGCGAGAGAGCTGTTACAACACTTGCTGAACCAGCGAGAGAGCTGTTACAACACTTGTTGAACCAGCGAGAGAGCTGTTACAACACTTGCTGAACCAGCGAGAGAGCTGTTACAACACTTGTTGAACCAGCGAGAGAGCTGTTACAACACTTGCTGAACCAGCGAGAGAGCTGTTACAACACTTGTTGAACCAGCGAGAGAGCTGTTACACTTGCTGAACCAGCAAGAGAGCTGTTACAACACTTGTTGAACCAGCGAGAGAGCTGTTACAACACTTGCTGAACCAGCGGGAGAGCTGTTACAACAAGAGGTTATACATGTGGCGATGGAATTCCTTTCCAGCTCAGACCGCGCTTGCTTGCCCATCGCCACATATATAAGCTTGTTGTAACAGCTCTCTCGCTGGTTTTAACAGTTCCACTGCTGGATTATATTTTTTCCACCTGAGGACGGCCACTTGTGTTGCGATCGAAGCGTCGTGATTTAATTTAATTGATACCTAAACTTGACTTTACCGAAAGAACCAAAGAGTTTGTAGAATATGTTGCACAAAAAACAACAAACTTCCAATTCAAGCTGCGGGGGGGTGGGGGGCATTTCAGCAGCCGCCAGGATATGCGTGTGTAGGCCACACACAAGTGATCGTGTAACCACAGAAGGAAACGTTCACCATCAAAAACATTACCATGGTTTCCCAGCAATCATTGCATGTCAAAATTACACCACGTGTTCTTGTACAAATGATAATATATAGAAAACACGTATCTCTCTCGATGTCGCCCGTGTTCAATTTCAAACACGTTGGCGACCCATGAATGTCCTTCCATTTAGCTCTGTGCATGATATTGCTTGAAAACATTGAATTATATACCACTCCCAATTGCATCCAATTGTTCAAATTGCATATGTACCTACGTAATTTGCTGTCTTCGCCAGCTTTTGTGTGGTACCTATACTTTTCTCAGTAAAAAAAAACATATTCAGTCTCTTGTTTTCCCATTACATGTCCAGATAAAAATAATAATCCAACTTGCCTCTCTCTAACTCTTCATCTTCTTCTTCCACGCGTTTGTCCCACTCATCTGGGGTCCGCTGTCCTTGCCAACCTTCTCCACGCCGCCCATGTCCTGCGCCATCTCTCTTTCCTCTCCTCAGGCCACCGTTGTCCGACCGCACCGCATCGCCCCCCCCCCCCCCCACCTCTTCTTCTGCCTTCCTCTTCATCTCATTTCCTTCCACTTGTATCACTTGCACCTTCTGACCCACATCGTTTTCCTGTTGTCTCTCCACATGACCGAACCACACCCAGAGTCTTTTCTCTCTCATCTTCTCAGTGAATTCTACCACCTTGAGTCGTCCTCTCACTCCTTCATTTCTCACCCTGCCCTTCCTTATTCTTGGTTCTTTCGGTAAAGTCACGTAGAAGGGAAACAATAAAATAAGAATAAAATATATAAAACAATACAATTCTCACGACGTTTCGACTGCAACACAAACAATCATCATCAGGTGTGAAAACCACAGCAAGAAAATTCAAATTTCAAATTTTCTTGCTGTCGTGATAATTTTATTGTTTTATATATTTTTATTTTATTGTTTCCCTTCTACGTGACTTTACCGAAAGAACCAAGAATATGAATCCCTGCAGTCACGAAAGCTTTAAATCTAAATCTGCCCTTCCTTGTTAAACCAAGCATCCACCGCAAAATCTTCATATCTGTGACTGCCATAGCTTGGTCCTCCCTCTTTCTTGTGCCCCAGCGCTCGGCCCCATGTAACAGCACCGGCCTCACCACCGTCTTGTACTATACACTACACTATATACTACACTACTATACACTACACCAGGGGTGTCCAAACTACAACCCGCGGGCCAACTGCGGCCCGCCATCCATTTGTAATTGG